AGTTTGGTATTGTTATAAGGTAATTTGAGGATAATGAAGAAATAGATGGATTAATGATATGGAGTGATGAAAATAGAGGTTATTGATTATATGATAAATGACAGTGATGAATATATAAGGGAAAAAGGTAGTTGAAGAACTAAAGGAATGAAAGAGCAAGTAATGGAGACAACATAAGAACATTAGAATATATGTTCTTATCAATGCGTGCAATGAAAATTCGATGATGAATTTTCTTAAAAGGAGGGGAGATTTGTAACATCTCAATCTATGGGTTAGTGACTAAATTGTAAAATTTTAGAAATTGGTGATTAAAGTAGGATAATTAAATAGTTCAATAATTTATTACAAATATATGATGAAGGTTATTTAGTAATTATGGAATGAATTAAAGGGTAAAATGGTTAATTGACAAGTAAGATTTTTATTCTTCCTTTATAAGAAAAGGGAACCACGTGGAAAGGGAGAGATTTCTCCAGAGTTCTCTTCTTCTCCTTTCTTCTTCTTCTTCACGTGAAAGCCAAGAGCAAAGGTAAGTTTGATTTAGCTGTTGATTTCTTGAATTTTTAAGTTGGATTTGAGTCTTTGGGGGTTATATAAGCTTAAGGAAAGCTTATATAAGTTTAAAACACCAAGAAGAGAGAATTAGAAAGGAATTTCTATTAAGAGTTTATAAATGAACTTTTATGATAAAAAGGTTTTTGAAGTTCTAAGGATGAATTTGACTTGTCAATGGTCTAATTAAGAAGTTACAAGCAATATAATTGAATTTGGAACATGTTGAAAATTTAGTGTAATTCTTGAATTATATATGGAGAATAGGATTTTGATGTTAAAGAGGTGATTAATGAATAGAAATGAGTTTAAATATGAGTATGTAAGTTAAGAATAAGAAAGGGGATGATATATGAAGTTATTAAGTTGAAAAGAGTGGATTTTCAGGCATAAAAATGAATTCTGGGCTATGTGCATCGATGCACATTCAATGTGTACTGATGCATCAAGGGTATTTCCAGAAATTGTTCTGTGTGTATCGATGCACAGGAAGTGCATCGATGCACCCATTAAAAATGGAAACATCGAATGCAGTTAGTGTATCGATGCATAAGGAGTGCATCGATGCACCCCCTTAAAATGAAAACATCGAAGCTGATTTGTGTATCGATGCATGGGTAGTGCATCGATGAACATGTTAAAGAATGCATCGATGCACTGTAGAATGTATCGATGCACTTTAAGGGGAAATTGAAATAAACATTTCTTTTGGTCTAAGAAATGATAGATTAGAGTATATCAATGGGATACTGCTATGTATCAATGTATGATCATGTAGATATCGAACATGAACAAGTTCCCGAACGATTATCAAGTTAAGATTCGATTAAAAGAAATGAAATCATAAAAGTGGTTGTGACTAGTGAGGCCAAGTGAATGCGCATTATTTTATATATGATGTTTAATGGGAAATAAGACTTGTGACAAGTCTATTATTTTATAATATTGTGCATGAAGTATGAACATGAACATGAACATGTGTTTGTTATGAGTGTCTGAGTTATATGTTATGGTATGTGTGGACATGTTATTGTATATGTATTTCATGGTTGATGTGAATATATGCTATGTTATGATGATATAAACTATATGATATGATAAGAAATTATATGAATATAAAAGAGAAGTTATGTGATAAGATCTTTGAGATATATAGAAATGGAATATAAGACTACACGAATACATGATATGGGATACATTAGGTAATAATATGAGAATATGGTAAAAAGCGAGTTTAGAAGAAATGATATGAATGAAGTAATCAAATGTAAAGGTTATATAAACAATAAGAATGTGAGTTGGGCAAGTACATAGTACTATGATCATTTATGTGAAATAGTAAAATAGAATTATATCATTTAATGAGAATTGAAACAAGATAGATAATATTGACCTATATGATGATATGAGAATAGTATATCAAATAGGAGACTTGAACATAAGTGATAATAGGAACATATAAGATGAGCTAAATGGGAATGATACATATACTTAAATAAAATTATGATATATGGGTTGTATGATAGAAATATATGGAGTCATATTAAAAAGTTATAGGTACTATATGAATTGAATTAGGTAAATAGATTAGATTAGTATATAAATGAAATAATAGAAGTGATATATGTTTATAAGTATGACAGAGGTGATATGATCTAGGTGAATATCATAGAAGGAGGTATAAGCTATATAATATGATATAAGCTATTTTATACATATATGATATAAGTTATTAATCAGAACATATGAGATTATGAGAAGGAGAATATAAATGATGTGAATACAAGTATAGGAAAGATGATATATATATATATATAGGAAGATGAATTATATGAATACACATTTAGGTGAGGAAATGATGGATTATATGAACATGTGAATATATATATATATATATATATATGATATGACATAAAAATAAGATATAAGCAATGTGACAAGAAATGTGAAATAACATGAAAAGTTGATATGAGCTACGTGATTTATGAAAGTGATCTATGTGATTATACGTATATGTGATTCAACTTATGTGACATAATCTACGTGCTATGTGAAAGTGAACTACGTGTTTATGTGAAAATGTGAAATGACATAAATGATAACGCCCATGTTATGTGTCATGAGAGCTAGGGTATAGTTGGCATGCCAAGAGTCGAGGGTCTACGCGGTCCTTCGGGACATATATGTATTCTTTGGAACATGTGTGAGGTCTTTCGAGACACATACTTGATCCTTTCCATATTTATATGATTCTTAAGGAATTTTCTATGTGGTCCTTAAGGAAAACCTTATATGGCACTTCGGTGCATTTCTACGCGGCACTACGGTGCAATTCTACGTGGCACTTCGGTGCATTTATACGAGCTATGGTGACAGCATTAGTGCACAACCTCTATAGACTCACATATCTATATTTCTCACATGTGTACATGGGCTAATAAAGAAATAACAACAAACATATAATACATGTGACTTGTATGTTTTTGTGCCATGAATGATATTATATGATTTATATGATGATATGTGGATTGTATGATTAAATGAGTCAAATATTGGTTAAAAGGCTAGGTATAAGAGGATATATATTAAGTGATATAAACAATAATAATATTGATAACGAAATAAGGCTAATGATGGAAATGATGGGTGATGAGTATATGTTCTTACATGTAATGATATATTGCATAGATGTTATAGGAATTTGTTACATGAATAAGGGTATGAGTGATAGCAGTAATTGTTCATGCATGATTACAAGCTATAGTTTATATTATATGCTTATTTGCCTCACTAAGTCATAGATTTAGCTTGTGATTGTTTCACACGCAGGTTAAAGAAGCGAGAAGAGAAGCGAATGAGAGCAAGACAGGTTAGCATCTTTCTTACTAAATTTCAGATCAAAAAATAGATGATTTAAATGTGTTTGGTTAATGTGAATATAGTTGGCATGTACTAATTGATTGAGTTGAATATGCTCTGATCGATTTTGATTATTTTGGGTCAATTTATGTAAATAAACCACTTTTATTTTAATGAAAATTTTAAATTTTCTTTGAATATTGTCAAGAGTCAAAGTTTGAAAAGTCAATATGACACCTCAAACTCGTATTCGGGTCGGGTATGAATTGGGGGTGTTACATTTAACCCCATTAGGAATTGAATGAGTTGTTCTTGTTTATGTTCAGCAAGCATGCGTTGTACTCCTCCACAATTGCACTGGAGACAACTACACAACTGTCGAATTGAAAACATTTCATCCTAAACAATTTTCAACTGAGTATAATAATTGCTTATTATCTTGCACGATCTCGCATAATCGTTTCTTTAAGTGAAACAAACGTGGTCCATTCAACTGCTGGAAATGATCAACCAAATCTTTCCACATTTCAGCAGCAGTCGTATGGTATAGTAAGCTGGCAGCGATGTCTTTGAAGACTGAATTGAGAAGCCAAGAATTGACCAGATTGTTGGCTCTTGTCCAAGCATTGAACTGGTTTACCATAGATGTGTCACGAGCTTGAATGGAACAATCAATGAAACCAAGTTTGTTCTTGGCAGATAAGGCAAGCATCATCGATCTTTTCCAGCTGTGAAAATTGTCATTGGAAAGCAACTGGCTTACTAATATCATACCAGGATTGTCAGACTAGTGCAAGTAGTAAGGATTTGCTCCATTGTCGAAACTATCGTTCAATGATTCAACCATGATGAAGCGTGAGAAGATAGACACAAACTTCTGATACCATATAACAATCAAGAATGCTGGAAATGAATAATGCTTTCTTGTTTTCAAAGAAGGGTTACAAGGCTAGTTTATATAAAGCTATAAGGTTAACTGATTAACCGAATTACAACAGCTAACTAGCTAACTAATGAACTAACTTGAACGGACTGATAACTAACTAATTATAAGCAACAATGCAAACTGATATATCAAGCTGATATATCCTAATAATAATATTTGAAACTTGAAAGCGACCAGTGAGAGAATCCAATTGCCATGGAGAAAAAAATATCACCACGATTGTTCATTATAACCGATCATGGCTCTTAAATACAGGAAGAACAATCTACCACTCGTTTAAGGCGAAGAAAAGAATCAAAACAGTGGAGCCTAATAAACTAATGGATTGAGCATATTCTATATTCTGCATGGAACAACTGGTGCCTTTCAAGGGGTAAAAGCAGAAAAAAAAATGGAGAACCTTGGAAACAAGTCATGACGGTGACCACCACAGATTCTGATCTACAGCTGCAAACCTAACCATTGACGAAGAAGGATGAGATGCAAAAATATTATCAAGAACAAGGGAAATAATGAGATGGGAGATGAATAAAACACGGTTAGAAACACCAGTGACAATATAGATTTTCCACTGATACTGTTCTTGGTAAGCAATTCCCCCTATCCTGGCAAAAACAAGAAAGCATAAAATTTTTTTGAAGATTATGGCCAATCTTTTCTTTGCTAACCCATTTGTAGAAATATCAGAGATAAACTAATGAAAATGTGCTAAGACCTCCCATCAAAGAGAATTTGTCACCGAGGGAATGCCAAATTGATTCGTAGTAGCTATGCTATGTAATCTAGATGTTTATTTTCTGTACTTTGGTTCCTGGTCAGCGAACACATTCACATCTTCATCTTTTGCTACTTCGGTTCCTGGTATATCGAACTCTCCTTCAAATCTCTCATTCAATAATTCTTCCCAAAATCGTTCATCAAGTTCGTTGTCACGATTCTCTCGATGTTCGACCTTATCTCGAGCTTCCTGTTGCTCTCTTCTTGCTCTACCATAGCTTTGCATTTTCAATGCAAGCGCTTCAAGTTCTGTCACTTGATATCCATGATCACCAAATACTAAAGGTTCAGTTTTAACAGGATTCGTTCCACCACAAGAACAAACTCCGCTCGACTCACCTACATCCACACCACAGGATCGTCGATCAATCGACCTCCTCCTTTTCCTAGATATGACTTCTTCAAGCTCCATTCTTTTCTCCTCTTGTTGCATTAGCTCCTGGACAAAACCCGGATTCTGCATCGCTCTAGCCAAGAAAGACATCATTTGCTGTTGTTTGTTTTCTGTGATTTGCAGCCTTTCTTCCGTGGTCTGAGGATAAGCCCGAGTGTCCACTTGCTGCTGTCTTAGCTTCACCAATTCCATCATTAGAACCTGCTTGTCGCACCTCAAACGATCAACTTCTCCTTCAAGTTCGAACCTGCCAACTTCAACACAAGGACCAAGAGCTTCTTGAGATGGGGTCTTTCTTCTCCTAATGCTCTTTAAAAGATCCTTTTGTCCCTTAAGAAACCCTTCATTCGCAAACTCCCATTTGTCTGGATCTATCTTTTTAAAACCCTGCTGGGAGTTGAAAATTCCAAACTCAGTATCCATTTATTAATATCAACCACTAAAGTTTCAAGCTAAATGAAATCACACAATAACCAACAAAAAACTTGAGACAGAAGGGACTGGAAACTTTTTAATTCCATTGATGATGGAGACGGACTAAGCAATTATTCTATTTGCCAGTCTTTTCATTCAAGAATAGTTGAGCAAAGTCCCACTTCCAGAAAGAACCAAGTGAAACTGACACGAAAGCCTCCAAAGAACATTCTACCAAAATGGGGTGTTTAAAACGTAACTGGCTGAGAATATTGGGTTTATGAAACCATGCGAAATTACAGAACATCCAAGAACAGTCCCAAGCATTAATTAAACAAACATGTTTATGAGTGTATTTCTCACGCATTAAGCATCCAATTAAACGAAGATACAAGATCATTCCCAATTTGTGAAAAATCGATATAAAACTAGTGAACAACCAAGTTTTCTCCAAAGCAGCTGTGAAAACTTAAAATGAAAATCAGCTGAAACGGGGAAATTGCAGAAGAAACACCCCAAGAACATTTTGCACCAAGTTCATCACCAAACTTTCAAAGCATCTTTTTCTCTATCTTTATGAAATGAAGTAATATTGGGAGAAACAAAAAGGATTGGGAACAGAGAATAGGAATTGAGGGGTAAGAACACTTACATAAGTATTGAGCTGTCTAACAAAACTAGAGAAATTATTGTGCTTGAAATATCTAGGGAGCAAATTAGCGGAGAAAGAGTGAGGATCCCATACAATAAAGCTGCCGCCTCCTCTGCTCCAAGAAAGTATGTAGTTAGTACTAGGATCATCCACCATGTCAAAGGTCTTGATAAGGAATGGCGGCGGCCCTGCATCGTGGAGACCCTCCATCGGCTGCGGCAGCCCCATCATCATCTTTGCATCTTCTTCGGACCCTGAATAACTCGAGCTAGGGTACTCCTCCACCGGATAATAAGGATTCATGGTTCAAAAACTACACTTTTTTCCTCCTTGAAAGTATACGATTGATGTGATTCTCAATTTGAATTATTTTCTTCCCTTGACAATATCTAGTTTACTGCTGAAGAAAAGGTTCGATCAAACGCAGAGTTATGGAAAGGAAGATCAAACTGGGAACAAAAAGAAAAGGAAATTCGAAACAGGGGACGACGCTCCAGGGGGAAAAATCTGAAGTAGGATTATGAATTGAGAGTGGAAACAGTGCTGTAAGGTGTAGACATTAATTTTACAGCGCCACGTGTCTCATTCCTATGTCTCCTCTCCGAAGACTCCTCTTGTAGTTAATTTTCACAGCAACCAAAGAGCGTTAGAAATCTATTTTGTATAGAATTTTAAAAATAATCGGTTTTTTCATTATAAATACATGTAATTCATATCATTTATAACACACGAATGAAGATACGAAATACAAATAGAAATTACGAGCAATCTTAGAGCGAAATCAGAATTTTTTTTTACAAGTTTTCGAAGAGAAATACAAGGTAAATATAGTACCTTTTTCGAGTTTACGCTTGCATGCTTGTGTCTCGTTACATTTTGTATTCGAAAAACACCAAAGAAAATGATTTTTTATCGATGAACAGATGTATTTTTCGGGATATATTTTTATAGATCTAGCCCCCGATGCTTCTTTTCTTGAGAAAATATTTTGATTTTCGAAATGGGTGTGAAAAAGGGGTAATCTAACTCTTGGTCCCCTCGTTTATAAATGATTTAATTTCCACCATGAAATCCCAATTCATACTCAAAGTGTTCCAAAATTTATCATTCGATTTTCTATTTTTACATTCTAGTTCGTTTTCTAGATTTGAATTTGAATTTTCTTCTCATTTTATTTAATATTACATTATAGTATATATTTGATATTACTCTTGTATATTATTATTATTTATTTCCTTTTGTTGTTTTGTATATACATGTATCATTATTATTTTATTATTTACTTATTTTATTTAAATGTTATATTATATATATATATATATATTACGTTATTTCTTAATATTTTTTTTATATATTTTTTAGTTTACAAGCTAATATGTATGTATTTTCTTTTTTATCTTTTTTCCCTTCGTTTTGTTTATTTTTTTTATTTTTATTTTCTTTATTCATTGATTCATTTTTCTTATTTTATTTATTTATTTATCTTATTCCATTGTCTTTATTTTTTATATATTCCATTTATTTTCATAATCTCCATATCAACTGTGTTGTTTACTTTTCGTCCATATTTGTTAGTATTTATTTTTTTTGTTTATCTCTTCTTTATTTCATTTTCTTTATTTTCAATTTATCTTCATCGTTTTTGTTTTTCTAACACTTTTCTTGATTATTTAAGGGTTTGTTTTCCAAATCTTAGAGGTGAGTAATTTGGATCGTCATTTTATCTTTTAATTTAACTTACAATTTTCTTAATCAAAGATAACTGGAAATTACGTAGTACCGAAAGGGCAGTTCAAGGGTGCTAACCCTTCCTTGACTGTAACCGACTCTCGAATCCGACACATCTTTGGTAAGACTCAGATGAGGTAAGAAATAGGGTGTCCGATCAACCCATTTGCTTTAAAAATAAATGATCGGTGGCGACTTCTAATCCATTTTCCTAAGTCGAAGCCCAATTCCGGGGCCCAACCGAAAGACGGTTACGACAGCTTGGCGACTCCGCTGGGGACACAGGTAAGTGAGTTAGGCTAAGGTAATTTCCAGTTGTCTTTTTAACGAAAAGGGTAAGTTTAAATTTTAAGGTAACATTTCGATCCTTATTACTTACCTTTGATTATATTTTTTTGAGTAAATAGTTGAACTGATCATTTTCTAGTGATTTCAACTTTCAAAACTTTTTCATTCAAGGCTCTAAACTCGAGCTCCGAACCCGTTTTAAGTGGGGGTGAAAGCGACGCATTCGTGTGAATTTATTCACCGCATATGCCAATCAAGTAGCCTTCGGGATTCATATACCTTATGTCTTCGTGTGAATTTATTCACCGCATAGACATAAGGGAATATGTCCTCTCGAGTTTAACTTAGTCCACACAAGCCTGTGATGGGTTTAGGACTAAGGGTCTGGTAAGCCCAAGGGAGCACCAGCAAGGAGAACTCGGGTATCATTTTTTAGAACCTAAACTGGGAGAATTTGAAGAAATAGAGCCTACCCCAAAACTACATTCCAAAACCTAGGACATTTCTTTCCTAACCATGTTTTTTTTCTCTTATGGTTTTTTCTTTCCATTTATTTTTTTTATTTTTTTTTATTTTTATTTATTTTTATTTTACTAACTGTTTACCTTTGTGTTTGTTTTTAAAGCATTTGCATCATAACAAGAGGCCATTGATCCCTAAAAAGGTGTTTGTTACACAAAATAATCTGAATTAGTGGATAAAGATATTGTAATACAAGAGATTAAAAACCCCGAGGTACGACTATGGTCCGAGAAGACTCAGAAAGAAAATGGAGATAGTCTTCAAGGAAGCTATGTGTCAGAGCTGGTTAGCTACGTCTCTATCAGCCTAAAGCAGAATGACGTGCAAGAGCTTTGGGACATCTGGGGCAGTTGGAAGAATGATCAGAAACAGAAGTTCAGCCAACGGTACCCTGAATAACTCGAGCTAGGGTACTCCTCCACCGGATAATAAGGATTCATGGTTCAAAAACTACACTTTTTTCCTCCTTGAAAGTATACGATTGATGTGATTCTCAATTTGAATTATTTTCTTCCCTTGACAATATCTAGTTTACTGCTGAAGAAAAGGTTCGATCAAACGCAGAGTTATGGAAAGGAAGATCAAAACTGGGAACAAAAAGAAAAGGAAATTCGAAACAGGGGACGACGCTCCAGGGGGAAAAATCTGAAGTAGGATTATGAATTGAGAGTGGAAACAGTGCTGTAAGGTGTAGACATTAATTTTACAGCGCCACGTGTCTCATTCCTATGTCTCCTCTCCAAAGACTCCTCTTGTAGTTAATTTTCACAGCAACCAAAGAGCGTTAGAAATCTATTTTGTATAGGATTTTAAAAATAATCGGTTTTTCCATTATAAATACATGTAATTCATATCATTTATAACACACGAATGAAGATACGAAATACAAACAGAAATTACGAGCAATCTTAGAGCGAAATCAGAATTTTTTTTTACAAGTTTTCGAAGAGAAATACAAGGTAAATATAGTACCTTTTTCGAGTTTACGCTTGCATGCTTGTGTCTCGTTACATTTTGTATTCGAAAAACACCAAAGAAAACGATTTTTTATCGATGAACATATGTATTTTTCGGGATATATTTTTATAGATCTAGCCCCCGATGCTTCTTTTCTTGAGAAAATATTTTGATTTTCGAAATGGGTGTGAAAAAGGGGTAATCTAACTCTTGGTCCCCTCGTTTATAAATGATTTAATTTCCACCATGAAATCCCAATTCATACTCAAAGTGTTCCAAAATTTATCATTCGATTTTCTATTTTTACATTCTAGTTCGTTTTCTAGATTTGAATTTGAATTTTCTTCTCATTTTATTTAATATTACATTATAGTATATATTTGATATTACTCTTGTATATTATTATTATTTATTTCCTTTTGTTGTTTTGTATATACATGTATCATTATTATTTTATTATTTACTTATTTTATTTAAATGTTATATTATATATATATATATATTACGTTATTTCTTAATATTTTTTTTATATATTTTTTAGTTTACAAGCTAATATGTATGTATTTTCTTTTTTATCTTTTTTCCTTTCCTTTTGTTTATTTATTTTATTTTTATTTTCTTTATTCATTGATTCATTTTTCCTATTTTATTTATTTATTTATCTTATTCCATTGTCTTTATTTTTTTATATATTCCATTTATTTTCATAATATCCATATCAACTGTGTTGTTTACTTTTCGTCCATATTTGTTAGTATTTATTTTTTTTGTTTATCTCTTCTTTATTTCATTTTCTTTATTTTCAATTTATCTTCATCGTTTTTGTTTTTCTAACACTTTTCTTGATTATTTAAGGGTTTGTTTTCCAAATCTTAGAGGTGAGTAATTCGGATCGTCATTTTATCTTTTAATTTAACTTACAATTTTCTTAATCAAAGATAACTGGAAATTACGTAGTACCGAAAGGGCAGTTCAAGGGTGCTAACCCTTCCTTAACTGTAACCGACTCTCGAATCCGACACATCTTTGGTAAGACTCAGATGAGGTAAGAAATAGGGTGTCCGATCAACCTATTTGCTTTAAAAATAAATGATCGGTGGCGACTTCTAATCCATTTTCCTAAGTCGAAGCCCAATTCCGGGGCCCAACCGAAAGACGGTTACGACAGCTTGGCGACTCCGCTGGGGACACAGGTAAGTGAGTTAGGCTAAGGTAATTTCCAGTTGTCTTTTTAACGAAAAGGGTAAGTTTAAATTTTAAGGTAACATTTCGATCCTTATTACTTACCTTTGATTATATTTTTTTGAGTAAATAGTTGAACTGATCATTTTCTAGTGATTTCAACTTTCAAAACTTTTTCATTCAAGGCTCTAAACTCGAGCTCCGAACCCGTTTTAAGTGGGGGTGAAAGCGACGCATTCGTGTGAATTTATTCACCGCATATGCCAATCAAGTAGCCTTCGGGATTCATATACCTTATGTCTTCGTGTGAATTTATTCACCGCATAGACATAAGGGAATATGTCCTCTCGAGTTTAACTTAGTCCACACAAGCCTGTGATGGGTTTAGGACTAAGGGTCTGGTAAGCCCAAGGGGGCACCAGCAAGGAGAACTCGGGTACCATTTTTTAGAACCTAAACTGGGAGAATTTGAAGAAATAGAGCCTACCCCAAAACCACATTCCAAAACCTAGGACATTTCTTTCCTAACCATGTTTTTTTTCTCTTATGGTTTTTTCTTTCCATTTATTTTTTTATTATTTTTATTATTTTTATTTATTTTTATTTTACTAACTGTTTGCCTTTGTGTTTGTTTTTAAAGCATTTGCATCATAACAAGAGGCCATTGATCCCTAAAAAGGTGTTTGTTACACAAAATAATCTGAATTAGTGGATAAAGATATTGTAATACAAGAGATTAAAAACCCCGAGGTACGACTATGGTCCGAGAAGACTCAGAAAGAAAATGGAGATAGT